TCAGAATATAGTCAATATTTTGGTATCCACTGTCGCAGTTTAACCATATCGGTATCGATTGAAATTCATTCATAGTTCAGTCTTTACTGATAATACATCAGTTTTCCTGCAGCGTTCGACTTATGCTTTGGCTTAAGCGTTGCCTTGTGTAGTAACGTGGCAAACCGAAACATCTCTGGTTTTGAACTAAGTTGATCCGGTACAGCCGGCATAGACTAGTTGAAAAACGAAGAACATTTTATTCTAGAGGACAGCGGAAATGCATCTAACAGTCCAAGAATGATTGCGTACGCTGAAGTTCGTCAACAAGAGCCAAACTGCTCAAAAATTGGATGTACTAACACTGAGCCTCATCATCTTGCTCCTACTTGCCTGTAGGTTCACTTGAATAATTTCTAAGGCTCACAGACATACCGTGCTGTGGATGATTTGAAGACGAATGGTCTTCTAATTCCATGGTTGGCAGCACGAGGAACAAGATAATTTTGTTTGCAAGAATTTCAACGTTTCGACCGATTTGGCACCAGTCATCATTAGAGAATGAACAAGAAATAAAATCGAACTGCGGGGTCAGTTGGTGTTTGACCCAACTGGTCAGACTCTAGACCGATCACCAATTAAATTATGAATTATGTTCCATGCGGGAGAAATGAAAATGGAGCCACTGCAACCGTGGCAAGTTCTACTTTTGCTGGTTGCGATGTGTAGCGACAACTTGATTGACAGCATCACCCTGTCCCGTTGTCGATCGACCACCATTACATCGCTGTTGTTAAAGTTATGAACATCCTTCAGGCATGATCACAAAACCAGAATATTCAACGCTACGGTATCTAATGGACTTTCTGTGCCGTTATGCTTAGTTTTTAGTGCACGACAAGTCTTGCCAATATATATTCGGTCACAGCTATTGCAAGCTATCAGATAGACCATCTAGAAAAGCTATCAAAGCTAGAGTAAGGATCAAGTTTCTTGTACAATACGCTTTCTAAGGCTTTCCCCTGCAGAAATATACATTAAGACTTTAAGTTTTAAATATATAATTTCCTCAAATACGCATACAGGTATTTAAGTAAAAGTTCGAGGATATGAGGAAGTGGTGTTGTGATGGACGAAGTTCGCCATTACAAGTTCTTCGCGACTGAGTTGACTAACGATGGCGACACTGATCATGAAGCGAATCACGGTGTCGGACTGGTATCAGCGAATTATGGAAAGACATAACATATGGGAGAATCAGAAGTAGAATAAATGCGAAGATAACAGCTATGAAAGCAGCCGCATCAGCGGTGCTCACGTAAAATCTCGAAACGTCTGGCATCATGAAGAACCATGAGGCTCGTTTAGACAATTTCCAACAAAGCTATTTATGCAGCGTCCTCAAAATGTGATAGAACAATCTGATCAGGTCACCAACGAGTAGGTGTTTAAGACCATCGGTCTGAAAAATCAATCAGGGACCGGCTTCTGGGTTAGTTTGATACAACGGCCCTCAAAGAGAATGGAGTTCTTTTCAAAACTTTTCTCACGCGGGAGCCACCAAATGGCTGTAGATGAGCTGGACGACAAAACGACTAAACATTTGGTTGAGGTAGACGAGGAAAATGATTTTTTCCGCAGCAGTGAATGAGGCTTAATATCAGCCTGAGACACCTTTTCTAAAGGTAAGATCATAAATCTGGGTTACTCTGTTACCTAAACTCTGATGACCTCAGATGCGCCATGCCTTTAGAATGAAATTTTGTCAGGGTCAGGACTCATTTGGCGAATGAAGTGAAAAACTGTGTTCAACGCAAGGCGGAAATTATAAGTTCCTCTATCAAACCTGCTCTTTAACAAGGGAAGGCACTAAAGTTGTTACAAGTGCAATCATTCTGTGAACTGAAGCTATTCAAGAGTACTACAAGCGTATATGCCACATGCATAAGTTGCAAGAATTAGATTCTTGCAGTCGCAAAGCTTTAATACAGTGAATGGCGCTATTCATAATCAGGTGGCAAAACGCATGAAGCACCACTGTAAGAGAACTTCCTTCTTTAATGAAGAAAAACGTTTTTGTCTTTCAAGCCATCGACTCTATAATAGTCTCTGGGTATTTTTCAGCCACAGAGTTATAGAGCTCTTTTCCGTATCACACGATGCAGAGTCACAATGAAAGTTCAAAGAAATATGCGATGATTTTGTTGTGTCACACTGTTTCTATTAACACACATCCATCTTATTTTTTATGCTATATTCTGGCATTAACTGTTAAGATCTGTCAAATGCTGAACCTCCATTTCTTCCCAAATGAAGGCCATTCAGACAAAGCAAGAGGAAATAAATTATGTGGAAAAAATGTGGCATGAACCTTAGGGAGCATGAGTCCTGCATGGAAATGCTAAACTGAAAGACACCATTTACACATCTAGAGATTTCAAACTTTTATGCCCAGAAGGTACAGAAACGTAAAACCTGACGATCATTTTTGTAGGTTAGCGGACGCTGAGGAATGAAATGTGAAGTGCGATTTTGGCTCCATAGCGAAACGGCTTAGCGAAGATACACTCGTAGCATTTCAACATGTCTTTGCCCAGAGACGGGCCATTTTGTAGTGTTTATCAATGTTAAGGGGCCAATGATTCAAAAGTACTTGATGTCTTCTTCCTAATATGACGACAGTTATCCAACCGGGTGTTAGCCGCAGGCGGCTCCTCCCTGATTGTTGTCAATCTGCTAACCAAATTTTAAGCATACATGATTTCTTCCTGGTCGAGCACAGTGGGCGAATCATCTTCGACCGTTTAGGTCACTTTTTCTGATCATGTCGTTTTCTATTGGTGACGCTGGAATACGGGCGCGCAGCAAGAGTTGGCGTACCCCTAGCTTTTCATCAACCTAACTTTTCCGTAGGTCAAGTGGCCCCCACCTGCAAAGAATACAAGCATCTTAATAGAAGCACAGCAACTCGCTGATGCAGTTGAGTTATCGCAATAGTGCTGATCAGAGTTCTGACGAGTCCAATTTCAGCCGAATGCTGTAAAACAGACAAACAGACATCTTCAAAGCGCATAGCTATGTCACAAGTCCGCCTGGACAACCGCCGTTATTTCTAAACAACGACCCTCTCGTGGGAAGGGGACTCTAATTCCGTGCTTAATAACTTATCGAGACTTTCTGCTGTAAAACTGGTCACTTATACGTGACACTCGAAGTGCATCTAAGAAATATGGCCATTTTTACTTGGAGCACAGACCTTTGCTATGGTAGAAATAGCCGATTTGGGTCTCATCCATCTTCCCGTTTCAATCTGAATATTTAACAAGCAATTAGTGAATCGTGCTTCCGCTAACAGCTAGCTTCAGCTCGACAGAGTCGACTGGCGAGCGATGCAGTCAGCACAATGTCGTGACTCAAAGCACTCTGATCGATCTCAGCAGATCCATCATTTCAGCCGTATAAAAGAACGTATTTCAATAGCTAGAAGCCGCAGTGCTGAAAATATACAAGCTGCGCTTGGGCAGTAGGCTCTAAAGGGCAAGCAAATGCTGCAATGTGTCTGTCGCTTATGGATTTATGGTATATTGATCTCCAAACACCTAAGAGACGATAAATGCTCTGCTGTAAAGAGTTTTCCTGCGTGCCAAACAGCTTGGTTAACAATGATGCTCGTACAACGACAGCAATCCCATTGTTATAACGCCATTTTACACGTAATGTTCCCACTAACAATGGCCAACACCTTTGCGTCGATCAATATTCTATTTCGGGCGGCTGATCATGCAATTACAACGTTGGGCAATAAACAATCAAGAAATCACTGTTTGGCTTAATGAGGGCGACGTGAACAAATTAACGCTCGTAAACAAGGTCGTAAACAACGATGTCCTACCCTTGCTGCCGAGGAGGACCACGGCTGCTCGAACAAAGCCCACACCTTCGGTTTCAAGTGCTGCCACCAGCTTAAGTTCCCGGCAAGGTAATCGTCTTCCCAGCCGAACAAGCCGGCCAGTTCCTCCTCGGAAAGCACCTGATTGTCCAACTGTTCGATCACAGCCAGCGTCTCTTGGGTGTTCCTGAAAAACCGCAGAGTTACTCAAATCGCGCGCCGCACGAGTTGCGTAAATCACAGCTGTATAGCACCTATGTTGCGTGTAGGTCATCCAGCAACAAGGTTCGACTTGATTCGAGTCAAGGCCCCAGAATTCCAGCTCCTCTTCGAACAGCGGTCCGCATACGTTCAGTGGATAGTGCAGCTTACCTAAACTCACATTTAATTCCAAAAGTTGCATAGTATTTATTTATGTTTTTGATGATCACAAATGATGGAAAACAGCGCAAGCCTCGGATCGGTTTCCAGAACCGTGCATTAACTTCCAAACAGTAAATAGTAGCAACAATAGTTTGATTAATAGTTGAAATTCAAATATTATCAGAAGAATGAGGATTGAACACCTGGTAGATCTTAATTTGAAACCGAAGTTGGCATAAACATATTTTGTATTTTGTCTCTCATTGCACTAACTCCTCAAGAGATGGAGGTTGGCTATGACAAATAAGCATTGGCAAACAGGCAGTCATGAGACCACCACGACGGGGGACCTAGACACTAAGTTATAATGACATTCACCTGTCAAAACGAAAGCGATCAGCCCCTTTGAGGAAAACAAGGGCCAATGTCACAGCAACCATGCCGTTATACATCGGCAACTGTGATATAAAAACCAGACGGAATTGGAAGAATCGACTGTACGAAATTCCCCAGGCCACCGTCAACCAAGGAAGTAGGAAACTTCATGCACCATGGCAACATAAATAAATGGACCTCAATACCTCGTGTTTCTGTCGAACCGTCCAACGGCGGCAGTTCGATGTTCCAATAACGAGAGGCTGCTGAGAAACCTAAATGAAGGGCCGCCATGCGGTAAACCAACTCGGATCTCCCTCGCCGTTTGCACCTTTAACTGTAGGGAACTGACGAGATGTGAAACGTTAAACCAACCACTGGAGATCAGGAGAGGTCAGGGATGGCCTGTGACGTTCCTAAGCTCTGTAAGGAAGAAAACGGTAATTTGGTAATTTGACTTCACTAGGAATAGGAGAAAGCGCTAGGAAAATAGGAGCAATCGGATTTGTGACAAGAACTGCTGATCGTCAAAAAATGTCTTCTGTTATGTAAAGTTACCGTGCGTGCTGTGTCTGCCACTGAACAAGAAGAGGACTATGAAGTTGTCCAAATCTGTGCTCCCACATACACAGTCGAGGAGGACGAAGTAAAACATTCTATCAAGAACGGAACAGGCATTGTTCTGAAAGTTGTGAGATACTTCAATGCCAAGGCTGGGCGAAGAAGAGCCGTTGAAAATTTGTTTGTAGATACAAATAGATACGGAAGCGAAATGAGCATAGAGGTCGGTTGGTGTTCATGACAGGAACAAAGCACCTGGTTCAAAAAGATGACCAACGCGAAGTGGGCAGAGAGATCGCATCCTGTTCGATAAACGAAAATAGAGGGCCGGTTAGCGTTCGTACCGTTCTGTGAAGGACGCACTCCTCAGCAGCCTCAGTAAAGAAACCCAACTCTTCAGTTGTGACCTCCTGCTGGCAATGTTTTCTTGTGGCTATGAGACGTGGTAATTCATTAAAGCCGAAACGCCAGCTATTCTGTAACTGAGAGATGCATGGAAAGAAGAATATCGGGAATGACACTTCCTAAGGGGTGATCAGACGGGCGGATGGGCAGAGAGGAGAAGGTCCAAAGGGCTGACCTCATAGCTCCGCTCACAGACGGGAGATAAACGTCGATGATCACAGACTGCTACCTTCACGGGTAGAATAGGCTGCTTGATCGCCCACTAGGAGATTAATGTAGCAAGATTATATCATGAGCGGGAAGGCCGTTCTTGGAGGAAGAAGGTTAGAAATCGCGCAAAATGGCGGCGTGATGCCTCAGGCCAGATTCCTCACCGATCATCGGCCGGTCCAAGTGATCCAAAGGAAGTGACACTGATTCGCATTCTGGTAATGAAGAGTGCTAATGATTCAAGAATCCACAAATAGAGACCTTACTACAATTTCCGATGACTCCACCCATGAAATTTAAAAGTTTCCTGCTTGTTTACACATGCGCTTGGGATTTGGGACAGCTTTTTGCGACGCATTAAGCTAGGCATTTAACAGATAGAAGAAAAAGGAATTATTAGATAGTAGCTAATATAATACAAATGTGCTAGAGTTAGTATTACGTCGGCTTGAAAATTTTAAAAGTAAATTAAATAAATTTGATCTTTAATTTCTAGCTTTGTTGAACATAATGATGAACTTTTAACAATGTTCAAAGTCGA